TTCTGGAACTTCCCTCACAAAGGGTCAACATTTTGAATACCCAAAACGATTATAAAATCCGAAATAAGCATCCGATTCTCTTCATATTTCACACATTCCATTATTTTCTACTGACACAAGATCTCATCTGAAGAAGGCAGATATCGGTCCACTCCTTCTGGTATTTCCCCCACAAAGGGTCAAATTTTTGAATATCCGTAAAGCTCATAAAACACAAAATTAAACATCTAATTCCATTCAGACTTGGTACATCTCAATATTTCCATTAGCACAAGATCTGTTAAAAGATGGTAGAGATCGGACCATTCCTCCTGGTACCTCCCCCATAAATGGTTCAAATTTAAAAACAAAATGCTCAGAAGATGGCGAAATAAGCACCCAACTCTTTTCAAATTTCATACACACAAACATTTTTGCTAACACAAGATCTGTTGTAAGATGATATATATCTGCGAACCCCTTCTGGTACCTCACCCACAAAGGGTCACAATTTTCAATAGTTTTATCTGTCATAACTTGCGAAATAAGTCAGCGATTCTTTACAACTTACTGTAGCTAAATTTATCTCTCATTGCCAAAAACTTGAGATGAATATGAAATTTATGATTTCGCATAAAACTGGATATAAAAATTAGATTTTCTTAAAATTTTATAAAAAAAATATTTGTAGACTTCAAAAACGTTGATAATATTTAAATAGTTTTATTTTGAATAAATATTTAGTGCCAAGCTATTTTTAAATTTTATTCAAACCTTTGGAACCCCCAAAAAGAGTGTGTTTTCATATTTACCCTCTTTAATATAGCGAATATAACTTCTCTCCACTCTCTAATAGTTGTAATCTCTTAAAATAATTCATTTTCCTCCTCTTCCTTATTCGAAATCACAATATTTACATTATGTTCACTTCCCCCAATAACTCCTCATTATAATAACACAGTTCACATTTTCACCTCCCCTCTCTTTCTGACGAGAGAAGATCACTCTCATAGTATTACTCACAAACCATACAAGCCAATAATGACAGATTATTTCAATTTCTAAAAATACCTGTTGTTCAGATGCTGATTGTGATTTATTTTCAATGTAGGTGCCTATTTGTGTTTGGAATAGTCATCAAAACGACGAATGACGGATTCTCTATATATATGGGGAGGATGAGCACCTTTGTAACATAACAAATTCCTCGAGAGAGTGGGGGTAACACGAAAATAACCAACTCGCAATAACAAAAACAATAACACAAGGTGAAAAATACCTTTGCACTGAGGCAACAAAAACATTCGATTTTAATTAGGGATACCGTAAGGAGAGAAGAGAGAGAGAGCAAGAGAGAACTACACACAAACATCATTCATGTTTTTTTGTATTGTTTTAGTTTTTATTTTTGGATTTCTTGTAATTTGTAAGACAACACTAACAACAACAACATAGGTCCCACAGAAAAGGTAAGAAAAAAAGGAGAAGGGACAATCACAACAAAACACACACAACTACAACTTTATTAAATCTAAATAATTGTAAGAAAATTATGACAAGGCAGAGGGAAGGAAGGAGACACACCGAATGGCTGTCGTGTACATCAACTGTTAACCTGTGAGATGACAATAAACAGCAGCAGCAGCGCCAACAAAAACAAGCAAACAGGAAATGCCGTTTGATTAACAGGAAGAGAGTGAGTAGGGAGAAAAAAGGTTTTTTCATTAGGGGGACAGTGTTGTCAACGGTTGTATTTAAGAAATGGAAATCACTGGAAATGTGAAATTAAAATAAAATTATTTGAAAAAGTAATGGTATCTAAGAAAGGTATTTTTTAAAAATCGCCATAAATTTACAAATTAAGGGACAATAAAAAAATAACCAGGGAGAGAGGGATAAAAAAGGTTTTTATGAAACAGAAAGTATTGTCAAAATTCATCTCTAAAAAACCGTTAAAAATTTTAAATCGAAACAAAATTATAGGAGCATTTATTACAAAATTGAAATAGATTGCTTTGATATGGATATATGCCGAGAACAGTGTTGCTAACCTTCTTCAAAAATCGTCATTGAGATGCCAATAAAGAGCAAAAAACAATCAAACAGGTAATAACCATTAGGCTAAATGGAGAGATTCAGTAGACATAAACTATTTTCTTAAAGGATGACAATGTTGCCAATGGTTACATTTAAGAAAAATCAATGAAAGTTTCAAATTGAATTTAAAATTAGGTCAAATATTTGTTATAAATAAATCGAAAAAAAAAATTGTTTTAAAAAGGAGTATTGTCGAGAACAGGGTTGCTGAGCTCTCTTAAAAGTCGCGAATTATTTTTATATTTTTATTTTTCTGTATACCCATCCACTGCTAACCAGTGAGAGGGTGATAGAAAGCAGTTCCCCGTTACAAGGAAGAGAGTGGCCAAGAAAAAATGTTTTTGTTGAAAAAAAGTGTTGACAACTTTAGAAAAAAAAAATCGCCGAAATTTTAAATCAAGAAAAAAAATAAATTGTATTGAAATTAATATAAAATTTGGCGAGAACAGAGTGGATGATCTCTCCTTTGGTATTTTTAAATTTATACTGCCAGAGACATGATAGATTTGCTAATCTTGTTTTTAAAGTGACAGTGTCGGAATTTTCTGTATGAGTTGACATCATTGATTTAACAAAATTCATTTTTTAAACTTGAGTTCAATTTTTTTTTATTAAAAAAATCATAAAATTGGCATCACTCTTTTCCCAAAGAGATATGGAAACTCTAATTTCTTATCGCCGAATAGATTCCTCTCCCGCACTAAAGTACAAAAGAATAAATAACAAATTTAAAATAACAGTTTTCCAAGAAGAATTAATTAATTCCTTTTTTTTTTGTTAATTGTCACAAATTTCAAATTTTTATTGTAATTATTGTGGTTTTTGATATCGAAAAAAAGCGCTGAGTTGACATCCCTCTAAAGGAGGTGTATGTATTTATTTCCCTTTTCTTTGCTAATCTTTCTTGTGACAAAATGTGTTTTTTTTACGAAAAATTCTCGAAGTTAGAATCACTGTTTTAAAAAAGAAAAAAAAACAATCTAATTCTTAACAATAAATTCTGTATTTTCCTTATTGCAAAAAGAAAAGAAACAAAAATCTTTTCCCTCTTTTACGTTAATTATAGTGTTTTTTATTGTTACTCTTTTCAATTGGGAACCATAAAAATACTTTGTCTTTGTTCTTTCTCCTCTCCCTTATGACAAAAAAGCAAATTTATTAGGTTTTTATTGTGATTTTCATTTTTAAAAAATCCTCTAAGTTAGCATCACTCTTTGCAAACATTTTTTTATTGCTCACTTTTTGTAACAAAATACAAATATTTATTGTAATTCTTGTGTTTTTAATATCGAAAAAACACTAAGTTAGCATTACTTTTTTCAAAAAGAGACTAAAAACTATTTATTTTTTCTCTGATAATTCATTTGTTTCTTTTTGAAATATTGTAAACTTTTGCGACATTTTTTGTTTTGCTTTGTCGTTGAAAAAAACTCTACGTTGACATCACTCTTTTCAAGAATTAATTATAAACACTTGTTAATTTTCTTGGTTTTTTTATTGTTTTCCTTACAACAAATAACAAATGTTTATGCCATTTCTATTATTTTGTGGTTGAAAAAAAAAATCCACTAAGTTGACAACACTTTTTTCAAAAGTTCCATAAAAATCTATTTCCTTTTTCCTTGCCTATTTCTGACCTCCTCCTGACAAACTTCAACTGTTTATGTCAATTCTTTGGCAGTGTCGTTGGAAAAAAAACCTCTAAGTTGACATCACTCTTTTCAAGAATGAGTTATAAACACTTTTTCATTTTCTTGTTTTTTTTATTGTTTTCCTCACGACAAATTACAAATGTTTATGTCATTTCTATTGTTTTGTGGTTGAAAAAAATTCTCGAAGTTAACTACACTTTTTTTCAAAGAGGAGCCATAAAAATCTGTTTCCCTTTTCTTTGCCTATTTCCTCCTCCTATTTCCATCTCCTGACAAATTTCAAAGGTTTATGTCAATTCTTTGGCTGTGTCGTTGGAAAAAAAACCTCTAAGTTGACATCACTATTTTCAAGAATGAGCTATTAACACTTTTTCATTTTCTCGGGTTTTTTATTTTTTCCTCACGACAAGTAACAAATGTTTATGCCATTTCTATTGTTTTGTGGTTGAAAAATCCTCTAAGTTGACAACACTTTTTTCAAAAGAGGAGCCATAAAAATCTGTTTCCCTTTTCTTTGTTATTTCTGGCCATCTCCTGACAAATTTCAAATGTTTAAGTCAATTGTTTGGCTGTGTAGTTGAAAAAAAAAAAAACTCTAAATTAGCATTACTCTTTTCAAAAGAGTAGCCTTAAAAATCTATTTCCTTTTACCCTTCTATTTTTTCTGTTTATGGTAATTTTTGTGTTTTTTTCTTTTTGGCTGCAAAAAATCCTCTAAATTGACATTATTCTTTTAAAAAAGAGATATAAAAAATCTATTTATGTCATTTATATTATTTTGTGGTTGAAAAAAAAGCATCTAAGTTGACAACACTTTTTTCAAAGACCCATAAAAAACATAAAATTATATTTCCTTTTACTATTCTATATTTTCTGTCTTTGGTAATTCTTGCGTTTTTTTTTTCTTATTATCTGAAAAAAATCCTCTAAATTGCCATCACTCTTTTCAAAAAGGGGCCATAAAAAATCTATTTCCTTTTTCCTTGCCAGAAAATCATAATTTTTTTATGTTAATTTCGGTAATAAAAAAACCGTCCCTCAAAGGACAACTTACCTTTTTTAATGTCAAGATGTAAAACCTGTTGGTGGTTTCGTTGATAACCATGGATTGTTGATTGCGGTTGTTGATGGAGATTTGTTGAATTATTAAAACACTGATTGAATTTGGTGGTTTATAAAGAAATTTATATTTTTTTCATTTCTTTTTTTTTCGGAAAACACACAGACACTTTTTTTTGATTTTTATTGATTATGAATGAAAATTCAATGATATTTTTCTTTTTTGTGAAGGGTTTTTCAATTGATTTGATTTTTCTTTCAATCACTCACTTGGTTGTTGTTTTGATGATATCAATAACAATTTACCTTTACCTTTTCAATGAGACGATTGGGGGAGAGAGAGAGAGAAAAAATCAAGGGGTGAGCAGAGATAGGAATTTGATAATTATTATTGTATGTTAATTTTTTTATTTAATATTGCCATGAGAATCATTGGAATGAATTACTAATAGAGGTAAGGTTCTTATTCTACTCTGTGTGTGAGAGAGAGAGTACAGGGAGAGAAGTAACGGTCGACTGAGTTGAATAGGTGTTATTACAGGTGGTGTGAGAAACACAGAGAGAGGCAGGGAGCAAACAATTACATTTGTAATTGTTGGTTTGTTTTGAAATGGTCATAAAAATTCACAGAAAACTTGGACAAGTTGCAACAAAGTACAAATCTAGCAATTGGTGTCGCCCGTTCCCGTTTGGTTTTTCTACTTCTACTTCTTTTTTTTCTGGCTCTGCCTCTTCTACGATCTTTCTTTTAAAGAAGTTAGACAATCTAGCCGACTAGATTGGTAAACAGCTTAGAAAGGCCAACAACTGGCCGGGCCGATGTGCAGTAGAAACGTGTGGTAGGCAACATAACCAAAACAAATGGCCAGAAGAAAAACAAGGCAGCCAGACTCGAAACTAAATTAAAAAATCAAACACCAGCAGACAACCAGACCAGACCAAAAGAGGGTAAAAACAAATCAAATGGCCATTGGTCTGAGCTATGCGCTGTGGTTGATGGCCAAAACTGAATGAGTAAAAAACGCACAACGCAACACCACAAAAACACACAACCAAACAAATGAATAACTGACTGACTGGTTATTTCGCTGGCTGGCTGGCTGGCTGATGGACTGACTTTTTGTTACCTTGCCGCTCTACAACTTCTGCTGCTGCTTCTGCGGCTGCTACTAACTATGAAAAGGCCAAAAAAGTCAACATAAACTTAAGGCAATAACATGAAACCAGGCAACGGTAATAATAATACCACCACCGCCGCCACATAACACATAAACAGGCCCCCAGGCTCCAATGCAAGCAACAACTTCTCTCCAAAATTTTCTTCGTCTTTAAATTATTTTCCACAAAAAAAATTTGAAACAAAAATTTTCGCCAAAGAAAATATTTTTCGCTTTATTTTTTTGGGTTTTCTGACAAATCTCAGATGATTTTCTTAAAACACAATTTATTTGATTTTTACACTTTATTTTTTTTAGTTAATAATTTTTTTCACATATTTTCCACACTTTTTCTCATTCACACTTAGCCTAGGCCATTAAACGAAATAGTTGTTTTATTCTATTTTTCCATTTATTTGTAAAGTTGGCAGAGATGAACAAAAAAAAACTAAAACAAAACACAACAAATAAATTGTATGCCCCACAGCAGTCGGTTCGGTAATAACGCGTAAACGCACGAACTCTCCCATTACCTTTAAAACCGTACAACGTTGTTCTCACGACCAAAGTTAAAGTTAAACTGTAAAAAATATGCAGATGTTTATGTTTACCACTGACATAAATTACAATGGCAACGCATTGATACCACCAGACGGAGAGTTGGCAATGCCGCGTAGGGGGCATTGTTGATTTTCTCTTCGTTCTCTCTCAATTGCACAATTTTCTCTGGCAATTCGTAACGCCGTCGAATGGCAAGATATGTGAACGGCGTTCGTAATGTGTTGGTGTCGACGGTGGTGTATTGCTCTCCCATAACGGTTCTCCGGCTCATATTGCTCCATTATGGGGAGAAATAAAGGAAACAGAAAATAGTTTTTTTTTTGACTTTTCACACTTTTCTGTTAAAAGCAAACACAGAAGTTTGTGTTATATTTCACAGATGGCGCAATTGTGAGATAAATAACAGTTCAAAAAATCGTGAATTTTTGTCTGTTGAAAGCATATATAATTGCTTGTGGTATATTTGACAGATGGCGCATTTGTGGAGGCAAACAAAAGTGTTTTTAAAAATGTAGATTAAACAAATAATTATTATATAAGAAGATTAAGAAGAATTCTTAAAAAATATTTGCAATAAAAACTTTTTAACTACTTTTTAATAATTGAGTATTCATTTTTTTCATATTTTCTTCAAAAACATTGAATTTGGTTTCTTTAAAAATCCATGTTTGATCAGCTGTTGCTCCTTGAAAAATATTCTTTAAAAAATCCACGTTTGATGCCATTAAAAATATTTTTAAAACATTCCACATTTGATGTCCTTGAAATTTTTTTTAAAAATCCACATTTGATGCCATTAAAAATATTTTAAAACATACCACATTTGATGTCCTTGAATTTTTTTTTTAAAATCCACGTTTGATGCCATTAAAAATATTTTTAAACCATTCCACATTTGATGTCCTTGAATTTTTTTTTAAAACCCACATTTGGACAAATGGACAAATGACCGCCCTTGAAAAATATTTTTTAAAAAATCCATGTTTGATGTCTTTAAAAATATTCCACATTTGATGTCCTTGAAAAAACTTTAAAAATCCTCGTTTGATGGTCATTTGGTCCTTGAAAAATATTCTTTAAAAATCCACGTTTGATGGTAATATTCTTTATTCTTTGATGGTAATATTCTTGAAAAATATTCTTTAAAAAATCTACGTTTATTGGTCCTTGAAAAATATTCTTTAAAAAATCCACGTTTTATGGTCATTTGGTCCTTGAAAAATATTCTTTAAAAAATCCACGTTTTATGGTCATTTGGTCCTTGAAAAATATTCCTTAAAAATCCACGTTTGATGGTCATTTGGTCCTTGAAAAATATTCTTTAAAAAATCCACGTTTGATAAGCTGTTAGTCTTTGGAAAATATTCTTTAAAAATCCATAGGTCGACTTATTGCAAAATCCTGTTGGCGTCTGCATAAAACCTCGAGGAAGCTCCCTCGTCGTTCCTTTCTTCCCGCCCTTTTCAATTGCATGATTATGTAGCCAAACAAATTTCTTCACAGTACAAAAAATTGCATATTTTTATTTTCTTACCAACATTAAATTCCATTACTTAACAATAACTAATAACTGGTTGTATTATTTTAAACAAAATAAAATTGATGATTTAAAAAAGAATAATAATTAATAATAAAAAATTGGTAAATCTATTACCTATAACCTTACAAAAGAAAGAAAATAATTAATTTTGCATGCCCATCTATCATTCCATCCAATCATCGTCGGCATCCGGATCGGATAACAATTCAGGTGGAATATGATCTACACTGGTGTCGACCTTTTTATCGGCTAATGCCACAACTTTACTTATCAGTTGTGAGGTATTGTAGATATCTATGTCTTCTGCTTCTTCTTCTTCTTTATTGGGGATTTTTGTTAAAATTTGGGATGCATTGAGTTGTGCTGGTGCCGGACTGCTGGGTGGTCGATGATGATTTTTTTCTTCGAAATTGTAATCAACATCGTTCTCTGGACTAGAATTCAAAATTCGTTTCGGCGGACTAGAACAAGAATCAGATGAATTTTGCCCCGAGGCCTTAGAGTTCTTCCTTTTGTTGCGTATGGGCCGGGGTGTATTTGCCAAATCGGCTGTTGTCTGCGAGGCAGGTATTATTTCATTGTCAGTTTTTGCAAATTCACGCCATGCCACTTTGTTGCGCAGGGGCCGTGGTGTACTCTCCAAATCTTTGGATGTCTGTGAGGCAGGAACAATATCTGGTAGACTCAAATATTTAAATTTATCCCTCAGTGGCCGGTGAGTGTTTTCTAAATCTAGTGTGTTTTGGGAGGCTGGTATTTCCTCATTTCTGGCAGGCTTTTCGCGGGGAAATCTTAAGGTACTGGTTGTGTCTTCATGTGATGATGTTGAAGTTGTAGACGATTTTAGTAGAGGATTATTCCATTTTGCGGCCTCCTTACTTGTTGAAGGACCATCCAACCAAAATTCAATGACGTTTTCTGCTTTCTTTTTATCTTGATCTCCAATCTTGATACTTTTACTGGGCTCTTCATCAATGGTTTGTAAAGTTTTTGATTTCCCATTGACACGAGGCTGTCGTTTTTGAGATACTTCAAATTCTTCACTAGAGCTGCTGGAAATCCGACGTCTGTTACCCCTGGTTTTAACAACCGGTTTGGTAGTTTCAAAATAATCTGAAGAATTTGTAATAAAAAGGCTACAACTTTCGCCTTCCTTTAATGTTTGGCTCAAGACAACATCATTACTGGTTTCGTTGGCCATTTTCTTTTGTGATTTTTTTATTGCCTTTTTACAGGGACTACCGCCAGCACCATTAGCTTTAATCTTAACCTCTTTTTTGGGTGACACTTTTTCCTTCTTTATTTTTCCGGTCTTTTCGGACTTTTTCAATTTCAGCGGCGGATCAAACTCATAGGCCGAGGCACTTTCCGATGGAAAATAATGGATTTCTGGCTCATCTTCATTGCCAACATCATCATCATCATCTTTATCAATTTTGTTATTATTATTTATTTCCTTGCTCCTTTGCTTTAGCGGCGATACAAATTTCTCCAAATCTTCGCTATTCATTTTTGCTTTGCGTAAAAGTATTTGCTTCCGTTGTGGCGTAGCACGACCACAATATTGATCGATGCGCGGTTGATAATTTGTTGAGATTTGTAATTTTTCATATTTATACCAATTTTCAGGTACATTTGCCGTAACCATTAGATCCCGTCCCACGGGTACAGTGCTAATGACTTTTTGGGGTTTTAAAAATCGTACAAATCTTTTCAGTTCTTTATAACTGGAATGTTCGGAATATTCAATGCCAATTATATTGATTTTTCCACGATATTGCGGCCGGGTATCCTTTTCCCAGCCACTGGGTCGTATGGCCAGCAGTATGTCATAGTCCTGTTCGTAGGAGGAGAAATACTCCACCAAGCTCTGCAAATAAAAAAGAGTATAATTAGTTGTGGTTCCAAGAAATTTAATATTTTTAAAATACGAATATCTTTTAAATAAAATTCCTAAAGACCTTAAAATAATATTTTGTTTATCCTCTCGAGAAACGTTAATCAAAATATTTTCCATTTTGGCCTTTGAATCCTTGAAATATATTCTTTTAAAAAATTCATGTTTGTTTAACTGGAGGGCTTGAAAAATATTCTTTATTTTTATCCTTAAAAAATATTTTTTTATGATGTTTTTATCCTTGAAAATTACTTGTTCAAAAAACCATGTTCGTTTAACAGGTGCTCCTTGAAAAATATTCTTTAAAAAATAAAAGTTTGTTTAACCAATGGACCTTGAAAAATATTCTTCTAAAAGTCCACGTTTAATGGTCGGTTGATACTAGAAAAATATTCTTTTAAAAGTCCACGTTTAATGGTCGGTTGATTCTTGAAAAATATTCTGATTTTTGAGCTGTTGCTCCTTGAAAAATATTCTTTTAAAAGTCCACGTTTAATGGTCGGTTGATTCTTCAAAAATATTCCGATTTTTGAGCTGTTACTCCTTGAAAATATTCTTTTAAAAGTCCACGTTTAATGTTCGGTTGATTCTTGAAAAATATTCTAATTTTTGAGCTGTTGCTCCTTGAAAATATTCTTTTAAAAGTCCACGTTTAATGTTCGGTTGATTCTTGAAAAATATTCTAACTTTTGAGCTGTTGCTCCTTGAAAATATTCTTTAAAAAATCCACGTTTGATGGTCTGTTGATACTTGAAAAATATTCTTTTAAAAGTCCACGTTTAATGGTCGGTTGATTTTTGAAAAATATTCTGATTTTTGAGCTGTTGCTCCTTGAAAATATTTTTAAAAAAATCCACGTTTGATGGTCTTTTTATCCTTGAAAAATATTCTTTCATAAAATCCACGTTTAATGGTGATGAATTGGTCCTTGCAAAATATTCTTTAAAAAACTTGGTTGTCGGTTGATCCCTGAAAAATATTCTTTAAAAAGTCTAAGATTTTTGAGCTTTTGCTCCTTGAAAATATTCTTTAAAAAGAATATGATTACAGAGTTGTTGGCCCATGAAAATATTCTTTAAAGTCTATAATAATTGAGCTGTGGGTCCTTGAAAATATTCTTTAAAAAGTCCATGATTATTGAGCTGTTGGCCCATGAAAATATTCTTTTGAAAGTCCACGTTTAATGGTCGGTTGATCCTTGAAAAATATTCTCTAATAAATCCATATTTCTTTAACTGACGGTCCTTGAACAATATTCCTTTAAAAGTCCACGTTTAATGGCCGGTTGATCCGTGAAAAATACTCTTTAAAAAGTCTATGATTTTTGAGCTCTTGATCCCTGAAAATATTTTATCAAAAAATCCACGTTTGATGGTCAATTGGTCCTTGCAAAAATATTCTTTAGAAAATTTGGTTTTCGGCTGGTCCTTGAAAAAGAATTCTTTAAAAAGTCCATGATTATTGAAAAATATTCTTTAAAATTCCACGTTAAAAAGACTGTCCACGAAAACCATTCTTTGAAAAACCATGGAGTCCTTTCAAAGACATTTCTAAAACATCAACGAATTTCGGTCTGTAAATACTTCAAATAAATAATTTTAAATAATTAACTCCACTTGAAAGCTAAATACCATAGTACGATCATTGACCATCAAGAGGCCTGCAAAGAGGAGCACCCATCACAGCAAAAAAAAAGATTTCTAGCTCAGAACCCTCTTGTCCTATTTCAAACCTCTTCTCTGACAAAAAATAAATAAAAAAAAGAATTACAAATACAATTTCAAAACTTACCAAATATGATATTTTTCCCATTGATATAACATGCATTTGTGCCTGTCTGGGACTTTCCACCAATAAGCCACCGTATTTCTCCACATCGATAGCTCTTAAAGCTTTGCTACGATTCTCCTCAGTCCACACCTTCAAGTCATACTCTTCGGCCAATGATGACCAAAATTTCTCTTTACCAATAACATATGAACCGCACACGTATAAAATTCTCTTTTCCGAATGTTTTTGACGAAATGCATCTATCAAGTGTTTAGCTCTATCGATACTTTCGTATTGTGTACAAAAAGCGTATTTTTCCGACAGATATGTGGTATCCAAATAGATGGTGTCGATTGTGTTATTCCAAAAAACGTGACCCTCTTCCATGCCATGGTAAGCACGAAAGTCTCCCGTGTGAAGTATGCATCTTTCGGGCTTTTTAGATTGAAACATTAACATAATAGCACCGGGACAATGATTGGCATCCAAGGCAGTAACTTGAATGTCATCGATTTCAACTGGTTCATTGAGGGGTAGTTCATGGATATATTTTTCCTCGATGGGTATAAATGTGCGTACCAAACGTGCTGAAAAGAGAAACATGGTGAAAATGACTTTGATTGTAAATAGAAAGAAAATAAAAACTTTTAATAAACAGAAAACTACAAAAAACTTGGAGCACGCCATTCAGTCTGAAAACATCCTAAAAAAGACTGAGACCCATATAATGTCTTAGTTGGTTCCATACTCTGAAAATAAACCAGACCCAAACGGCAAATTTAGTAGATCATCGGGGAGGCTAGGCTCAGCCGAAGCATAAATAACATCGCCGTGCTCAAGGCCCCAAGGGGTACTTGTTCCAAAAACATTTCTAGCTTCTGGGATGAAGTACATATTATAGGTATCTTAGCCTTCTACAAATAACTCCTTTAAATTATTTTTATAAATTTGTGACATGTTTCACCTACCTGTTATGCTGCTCATATACAAGGGTTTGGCAAATTTCCTTGTCAGTCCAATATAATGATCAGCATGAAAATGTGTTAGGAAATAGTAATCAACACCCTCAATGTAACCATATTGAAAGGCATCCACGGCAAAGCTAGTGCCTTCAACAATTTTATAGGGTGGACATGGTTTGGGTTTCCGCCGCGAGGAATGTGGTGTCTTTTTCGAACTTGAGGTTTTTGATGATCTTGAAGGGGTTTTCGAAATAGGTTTGTTAACACCTGATGTGCCTGAATCAAAGACCTTGGGTCTGGACACTGTAGATGTTGTGGTACTATGCTTGGAATTGTTATCAGAACTATATTCATGTTTTACAATTTGATTTGAGCCTATGGGTGAGATTAGTTCGGGTTTAATATTTAAACATGTTTTCGAATCCACTTGTTTGTCTTCTTCTTCCTCCTCCACCTCACTATCAGATATTAAATTTACACAATCGCTGTTATTATTTGGCATTGTATTGGTTTTCCTGGTTCTTCTATTGGGTGATGATTTTTTACTTTGGGGTTTTTTGTCAAGTGCATCGTCATCCTCATCATCTACAAACAGCCGTTTGCGTCCCGTTAGTTTGGAACGGAAATTTCCCCGCTGCGCTGTTTTCTTATCGGTTTCCAATTTCTTTACTTCTGTCGCTGCCTTACGAAATGGCGTGGGTTCTTCTTTTAGCGGCTCAATTCTATAGGTTTTCTCGCAGGTCTTGAAAAATGCATTTATGCGCAATTGATTGGGCGGTGGCTCTTTTCGAGCTGATTTTGTGCGTTTTCCTGTCGTTGGAGGTGGCTGCTGCGCCTGCACAACAACATCGGGCAAACCCTCCGGCGGCGTAGAGTTGTTCTGTTCTTCAAGTTTTACTTTTTTCTTTGTTGCTGTTGAAGCGGCTTTTCGCAGGACAGATTTCTTTTGCTTTGCTGGCGTCTCTGGCGGTTGCGTTTCCGCTTCGGCCTTTAGTTTCTGACTGCATTGTAACTCTTTGAGATTTCGCAACTTGAGTAGCGGCGGCTTTTGAATCATTCTTTCGATATCAATAAATCAATGAAAAACTATTAGCAGAATACTAATGTGTTGCGGATCTCTCGGATTGTGGGGCCTACACAAAGATACACACGTTTTACCAAGAAGAAAGTCTCACATTACAACATGGATTGACGAGATAGATTTTCCTTTTTGGTGGTCTATCATCTAATTTCAGCGGGAAAATCTTTGACAGATAGTTGAATAGAATCAACACTTGAACCATTCAGTGAAGGGAACAATCGAAACTAGTTGCAGTTGTTTCACTCAGAATCATTTTTCGTGCATTAGAAGTGGTAAGAGAGTATTTCTTTGTACTTTTTCGTTTTAGATTGCTCATTGGTTGTGTTGTCTGTTCCAGAACTGCTAGAATATAAAAATTATTAATAAGATAACCAATTTTTCCTCTGTGATATGGAAAAATAAAACTGGTAGATTCTTGTAGATTCTGGAACAGAGCCAATCTTAGGAATAAATAAGAAGCTTAACATCGTTGCATGGCATATTAATGTGATGTTTCCACTGCACTTGATTCGCTCTCTATTCCTTGTTTGACCCTTAACTATGAAAAAACTACCTAATTCTTCACACAAAATTTCCTGAGCGAACACTCGTATTTGTACGTTGTTCAAATCAAATCACTCTCAGAACAACGAAAAAATATGTCCCATCCCTAACAAATGAGAGCATTTATCGAAAAAATAAATTATGACATTTAAAAATTAAAAATAGAAAAATTTGATGAAATCTTAAAAATTTTTGGGAAGACTGAAAATTATGAATGAAAACTACAATGTTGAATGGCGTATGTACATTCAAACGAAAGTAAATTTTGTTTTCTCTCTCATTCGAGGTACGCATTTTGTCCACGAGTTAAAATTTCCACAGAAAACACAAACAAAAGAGGCAACATTTTCAAAATGTTTCTATCGGCAGAAAAAATGTTTGACAAGTGTCTCTCCAGCAGAATTTAAAAATGGAAAAAACACAAAAATGTGTTCAAAATGTCAACATTTACACAAAAAGTTGAAATCGTGAATGAAAATTGTAAAATTAATGATATAATAAATCTTTGGGAGGAAAACAATAATTTCTTCTATTCATATTAGTGAGAATTTCATGTATTTTCGTATAAATTCCCATTAAAATCAACAAACAAAATTTTTGAAAAAAGGAATTATTTTACTATGAATTACGAATCGTGCCGTATGAACGGGTTAATTCGTGTACTTAATTCTGAGAGCGAACAACGTTGTTCGGTTTCCAATGGAAACATGCTATAATGTCAAATTATTTCCCAGTTTCAAAATTCTATTTTTTTTTTGATATCATAAAGGAAAAATCGGTTATCGTAGCAATGCACATCGTAGTTTGGTCTACAATTTAGTCATGAATCGTCTTACAAATAAACAACGCTATGCAAGAGCTTGACTTGCATGACATGTGATTTTAACAATACGTTGCCAAATACCACCCAGCTCGCGAAGAATTGGATTTATTCAGAGGTGGGTTCGGTGAACATATTATTTCACGCTCGGGACCGCAATTTAACGCCCTTCGATTGCTTTTTAAGATGTTATGTTAAAGCTCAAGCCTATACAGTCGCGCCCGTTCCAATTGACGCATTAGAAGACAACATTGAAGCATTTATTCGTGAGATACATGCCAAATTGGTGGAAAAAAGTGCAACATTTCTATGAAATAATCTTCAAACATTAAATTAAATGGAAAATACTATCAATTCAAATAAATGTTTTATGCATTGTTCTGCACTTTGTGCTTTTACTTTCAAATAACCCTAAAAATCACCCTTTACTCTGCATTTGTTCAGAATTGCACAGAAAAAATATTAGAGAAAATCTTTTGCTCTGTTCCAGTATCTGCAAGAATCTACTATTTTTACAATTTTCTTCGATATCATAAAGGGAAAATTGGTTATCGTAGTAAAACATTTTACATTTTTGTAGTTCTGGAACGGACCATATGTGTATTGATTTGAAACCTTTTAATTCTCTTTAAAAAAACACATACAAACAACGCTAATTACCATTTTCGAAATTTCAATTGGATTAGTTTCCGTTGCACACAATGGAAAAACGATATATCCACAAAATCGATAACATGCGATAACTTCTTAAGCCTTTCATTGGGGGAGGTGTTAAATTGTTGCTGGGGTATGTTCAGTGTCAGCAGTCAAAAGTTTTGTACAATTTTTTTCACACACAGACCTCTAAAACATAGACATCAAAGAATTTTCAAATTTTTTAATAGAAAAACTCCAGTGAAAAACGTGAAAAACTAATGAAAATTTCCGTCAACATGTTTGCTTTGCGAAGCATATGAAATTTCGTATAAAAATCAGTGAATTTCCAATGAAAATCCACATTTTCTAATAGACGACGGATCAAAGAAAACAAGCAATTATGGGAAAAAATCTATAATCTGGAAGGTGTAACACAAAAAAACGACGAAATACGGTAATAAAATACACGAAAATATGCCAGAATAATAAAAGAAAATTATAAATATCATTAAAGAAAATGTGCCACAGCCAGTGAGAAGTTGAATGGTTTGTTAATATTGAAAAAATACTTGAAAAGTAATTTGAATTTTTTTCAAATTAATTAACTAGAAAGATGAACGAAGAAAACCCTAAATCTTTTGTCAGTGTGAGAGGAGGAGTAGTCTAGTGTGAACAACAACAGCAGCAGCAGAGCAAAGGCAAAAAGTTCGTGTTTTTTGTAGTTCTTTGGTTTGACGTTTTTTTTGTGTGTTTCTTCTCGTTACAGTCGTTGTCGTTGTCGTCGTCGTTTACTCTCTATACTCGGTTCTCGTGTTACTTCATTCATTGATTCTCTGTTGTGTGTGGTATGTTTTGCTTTGCACGGCTGTTGTGTTTTTTTCTTGTTTGGTCTTTTGCGCGAGTGTGAGTTCGTGTGTGTGCGCCTGGTGTATTGTTGTTTTTGTATGCCATAGTACTCCTCTCTCCTTTTGTGTTGTTGTTATAAAATAAAAACGCAGTGCTAATTGCGGTATTGCGGCGCCCTGTTGTGTGAATATGAAAGGGTAGAAAGGCCCAACTCGATGTTGAATAAATTTCAATGCTAAACAAATTAAAATATTGGAAATGTAATTGAAAATGTTGAAAATTAAAGAAATTTAAGATGTTATGATTTAATATTTGCTTCGGTGAGTTTTTCTTATAGATTTTATGAAAAAAAGTTTAAAATAAATGTCATTTATAATTTTTGGCCTCAAAACTCTCTCGTTTAATACGATGTTTGCACCTGCTGGGAAGTTAAGTACTAAGTACCTGCAGCTGTATTTTATGTAGCCGGGCATCAAAAAAGCGTGGAATAGTTGTTTAAACACTTGAACGACGAGAAGGAGGATATACGAATGTAGGCAAAGAGGAAGTAATTAGCAGCCGATTTTTTGTTGACACTAACTTCAACCGGTGATCATTAGTCATTGTGTTTATGAAAAGAATTATAGAGGAAAAAATATGCACTCCACATGTTCGGTTCTCTGAAGCCAAATACCGAGGCACAATTGTGGACTGTTAGTTAAGATGGTATAAAAACGTGGCGGAGCCGAGGAAGAAAGGCTATATTACATTTAATTTCTGCAAGAACTGAATGGGAGAGAGCTGGACACTCTCCTCTGCTATGTTAGCAGAGCTTTATACGGGCTGTATAAAGCTGTGTTTTCGCGTTTTACACTTAGACCGTTACACCGTTCCATACATATTAGTAGAGGATTAAACAGGAACGATCCGTGTGATAGAACAGTGTTAGTAGTTCTTGACCTATTAAAGGCATTTGGAGGACCTGTAGAGAACTACCCTTCGCAAGGTTTAAAACGTTGGATAATCAACTATATGTGTGGACGCCAATCGTACGTGGAAAGAGTCCAAAGTCCGTAGAGTGAAACAGGAAGTTCCCCAAGGTGGGATGATATCTCTGGAAATGTTTTACCTCCACCTTTCCGGAAATCATCGTCCTCGAATTGGCATAGAGATCGTAAGGTATGCGGATGATTGCATGATCATAGCGTCGGGCCCAGTGGTTGATGACATATGTCAATACTTGAACCCCTATCTCGCGGAGCTTGCCGCATCTGTCCACGCGAGGAATACGAAAATATCCGCCACAAAATCAACGGCCACACTGTGTCTGGGGTGAGCAATGCGGCTTCAGTGTGGTCTGCATATACTAGTGCTACGCTGTGGAAGCACATCCAAACCTGCCAGAATGCTGCCCTGAGAACTGAGGTGGCGAAAGTCCTTCCTTTGCGTCAGCATAATCATCTGCTTTCGTTGCAGTACCTGCTTGGGTGTTACCGTGAGAGTCATCCCAACCATCATATGGTGGATACAACTCTTCCATCCACGCGTGTCAGGAAGGACATACATGACCTAGAGAGGGAGGTCTAACGCTATAAGAGAGAACTTTTAGATCAAGAAGCCTGCCAGGCAGGTCTGAATGGCATTCATACCGATGCAGTCGCAGATGCTATTAGCAATTACAGGATGAATGACGTCCTCGGAGTCCACTCCCCATCCACTGTAGCTGAAGAACGTCAGCTGCCTAGACAAACCAGGGTATTTTTTGTGCAATTACGTTCAGGATGGTGCAGTCGTCTCAATTCATATTGGACACGAATTGATGAAGATGTGCGTGACGTCTGCCGGGGTCATACAGCCCAGCACAATGAGCTGCATTTCTTTAATTGCAAGGCCAAGCCTAACCAAATCACTCCAGAAGATCTCTAGTTACAGACCTTTAAGGTTGACGATTTTTTTAACCAGATTAGCAGAATACAAACATCCACATGTGCTACTCCTACATCAACAACAACCACGAATGAACTTTCTAGCCATTACACATTTGCATTCTAGAGAGGGACGATTGGACCCTTAATAACCCGTCTCCAGACAGTATAGCTATATATTTTAGGTTCACAGAAGGAAAGATGATCGGGTGCTGAAGTATTTTCTGATAGCTCAAACATTAGTAGCTCCCTTTTGCTTAACAACTACGTCAGTGCTTTCCAGGAAGAAGTCTTTTTATCAAAAAGTTCATAGATCTGTTGGATAAGAGAATCGTTGAATTTGGAGAATAGAAAAGCACTGAACCAGTTAAAGTCATTCAACAAGCTTTGTTGGGTTCCATATTTGGCAATGAAGTAGCGGATGATGGTGGTCCATATTTTGGTATAGCTCCATTTAACGGTAACGGCTGATTTATGGTACCTTTTTCGTTTTAATCCGGATTTACTGTAAATTGGCAGTTTGTTTTTTCCGATATATAAAAAACATCGCCCAAAGTACTGTCCATATATATTCAAATTTAGGAATATTCCCCATTTAACTGTACCTCCGGTATTCGGCATTTTATGCACATTTTTATCGGAGTTGTTTCAAAATTTCGTATTTAGAGTTCGTTATGGATAACTTCACGTCTTCGTACAGCCTCCATAAAAGGATTCCTCCACAAATACGTTTTTTAAAGATTTTAGACACGTTAATGGCAACTTAACTAATTTTTATATGTGCTAATACCAGCAGAAATTTAGTGAATTTTGACCATTCCGACTGAAAACATCCTAGAAACAAGTTCTTCAAATTTGGTGTAATTTGGTTCAGATATAACTATAGCTCCAATACATATGTTTCGTCCAATTTTTTCTTTAAGTCCCTCACATTTGTAGTATGTGTTCGACAACAATGATATTTGGCCACAGATATCTTATAGAGCTAATTTACCAAATTTTATCGAGATCGGCTAAGATTTGGATATAGCTGCCATATATATTCTTTATACGATTTCGGGTTAATTGTGCACTAAATGACCAATATCAGTGCAAATGACATGAATTTTTGCACATCCGACCATCTAGAATCAAAAATTTTAAAATCGGTTCAGATATAGCTGTAGCTCCCTATACATGGTGTTTAAGTTCCTCACATTTGTAGTATGTACTCCATAAGAATCATATACAGTCCAGAAATACCTCTCAAAATTTATCAAGATCGCTTCAAATTTAGATATAGCTCCCATATATATTTTCAACAGCTTTTGGGTCAATTGTGCACCAAATGTCCAATATAAGTTCAAATGACCTGAATTTTGGCACATCTGACCGAATTTAGTCTAGAAGCAAGTACATTAAATTTTGTGAAAAATCGGTTCAGATATCCATTCAGATTTGTATATAGCCTCGATATACATCTTCATCCGATTTTATTGTTATTGCTCACCAAATATGTAATATCAGCTAAAATTGAACAGAATTTTTCATATTCAACCGAATTTTGACATTCGGTGAATCTAGTGGTGTAGGGTATCATATAGTCGGTCCCGCCCGACTTTTGATCTTTCCTTACAGGTTATAATTGTGAACACAATGAACCCTTGGGTCCCCCAGTAGACAGTTGTCAATTAATTAATTAAATTTGTTGTTATTTATAGAGCAAGCAAAATGAATATCTCACTTTCTGTCGGTCGGTCCTGCTGCTTTCAACATCGGCCTTTAACATTTATTCCAAAATCGATCCCATTTTCCCCTAAAACTCATTCGTTTGTCCCACTTCCAATAAAGGCCCCACTTAGCCATTTCAACTACCCTCAACAGCGTCCCTGTCATTTCATTTATTCGTGTCGCTTTGTTGGGAGGTTTTGTGTCACAGTCTACAATAAACACAACAACAACTACAACAAAAAACGGTATTTCATTTTACTTTCATTGTTGTTGTTATTATTCTCATGTTTTTTGTGTTATGTTTTTATTTCGTTGTTGTTTTTGTTCACTTTTTGTTTTCTTGTTGTTGTTGCTCTTGTTGTGCCAATAAGAAAAGATTCATCAGAGCATTAAAAACAGAGTAGCACAAATATCAGCGAGGCTAGAAGAAGCAGCACCAGCAGCATCATCATCATCGGGCATGGACATTCCATAGTAGATGATGTAGCAGCAATAACTCCCCCCATCCCCCTCTCTATCTCCCCACAACCAACCATAATAATCTCCAAATTGTCTACTCATAGAGCAACTCATACTCCAAGAGCATAGTCTGTCAGTCCGCCCATACGTACGTTCGTTGTAGTCATCTTCAAAAAAAAACAACTCTGCTCTCATTTTCTTGAAAACAATGAAAAGTGACAGTCCCATTCTGATAATTGTTGTCCTATCCATGTTCATGTTGTGTGGATAATTGTTGTTGTTATTGTTCGCGTCGTAGTATTCTATTTCATTTTTGTTTTTTTTTTTTGGTGATTTGTTTTTGGATACAAATGCATATATCATGCATGGATTTTTGAGTGTCGTAAAATAGGGGGACCGGGTCAGCTGTGCTCGAGCGATATTTGACACTTCAAACAACGCTGTGGAGTGTATTTCATGTGGATTTTGTAATATGTGGAATTGTCAATATACATTACATTGGGTTTCCACACAAAAGAATATATTAAGAACTAATTTCACAAAGTTTTGAAACATGTTATGAATTTCGAGAGAAACAACCCTATGTTTGGTAGAAGCTCTGGGATTTTTTGAAAAATTTTCTTAGAG